GCTCGGCCAACCGTCCCGCCGCCTCTCCCGCCGGCGCCGCCTCTCTCCGGCGAAGTTGAAGTGTCCGGCCGCCTTGTAGGAGAAGTCCACAAAGGATTTTAGGTATTTTTTTTTACTTTTTGGTTAGATTTTTGAAATGAAAGAAATTTTAGGGTTTTAGATTTTTGGAATTTTTTTGTGTAATTTTCGATTCTTTCATTAGGGATCATGGTAAGAGGCAAGGAAAAGGGGTCTTCGTCATTGCGGAGGGACCCTTCTTGGAAGTATAGTGTACAAGTTGACATTGGCGGCGGCGAGAAGAGCTATGTCTATTTAAAGTGCAACTTTTGTGAGAAAGTTGTGAAGGGCGGAGTAACCCGCATGAAGGAGCACTTATCATGCTCTCACAAGAACGTAGCACCTTGTGCAAAAGTGCCGGACAATGTGAAGGAAGAAATATGTGCTTACATGAAGAAAACTACCACTGTCAAACACTTACAACAGCAGCAATTTGATGAAAGGGTCGACCAAGGTGCCTATTTTGGGAGCGAGAGTGGAAAGGGCTCCTCCTCCACTATACATAATAGAGGTGCACGGGGTCCTATGGATCAGTACATGACTACTGCAGGAGCAGATAGAGGAGAAGCAGAGATGATGCCTGCAGCTGGTACTAGAGAGGGTCGGCGACAGGTTTGCATGGACATTGGGAGGTTTTTTTTTGAAAATGCAATACCATTTAATGTTGCTACATCGCCTGCCTACTTCAGTATGATGCGGTCTGTAGGATTGTATGGAAGAGGGTTGAAAGCACCTTCTATGTATGAGTTGCGCACTTGGATTTTAAAAGAGGAGTTGCAGAACACCGAGCGAACCATTGGTGAGATTAAAAGGACATGGATTGAGACAGGTGTGACTATAATGTCAGATGGATGGTCTGACATGAAGAGTAGGAGTTTGATAAACATCCTTGTCAACAATCCCTATGGTACAGTGTTCTTAAGATCTGTTGAAGCTTCTGATGAGGTGAAGAATGCTACATTCATTTTCAATTTACTTGATGGAGTTATTGAGGAGATTGGAGAGCAGTTGGTTGTCCAGGTAGTGACTGATAATGCCAGTGCATACAAAGCAGCTGGTCAGATGTTGATGGAGAAGAGGACACACCTCTATTGGACACCTTGCGCAGCACATTGTATTGATCTCATATTGGAGGATCTTGGTGACTTACCTCAGCACAAGAGTGCTCTTGTTAGGGCGAAGAAGATTACAAAATTCATCTACAATCACTCTTGGGTCTTAAGCTTAATGAGAAAATTTTCAAAGAAAGAAATCATTCGACCTGCAACCACTAGGTATGTTCATATTTTTTACATTGTAAATCATTCCAACTGTATGTTCGTAGTTTTAACATTTGGGCACTGTGAATCTATAGGTTTGCCACCTCCTATTTGACACTGCAGAGCTTGATGGAGGTGAGGCAACCTTTGGAAGCCATGTTTACATCAACTGAATGGCTAAACTCTGCTTGGGGGAAGAAGAGTGAGGGAAAGGAGATAAGAAAGATAATTCTGAATGATAAATTTTGGGCTACTGTGACCTATGCCATTTTGAGCACGAGACCCTTAGTGCAAGTTCTACGCTTAGTGGATGCAGAGAAGAAACCAGCTATGGGTTTTATTTATAATGCTATGGATGAGGCCAAGGAGTTGATTGCACATAACTTGGGAGGAGAGGAGGCAAGTTATAGGGAGATTTGGGATATCGTTGATGCTCGGTGGGAGGTGCAGTTACACCGACATCTACATGCAGCTGCATATTATCTTAACCCTCAATTTCAATATTCAGAGAAAAAATCTTCAAATCCGGAAGTTAAGCTTGGTCTATATCACTGTATGGAAAGATTAATACCGGAGCAGGCAGATAGGGAGCTTGCAGATTTACAGCTTGTTCTGTTCCGGAATAAAGAGGGTTTTTTTGGTTTGAATGCAGCAAAAACTACCATTTCTAAACGGTCTCCAGGTATAATTAATTTGGTAAATGCAATACACTTTATTCAGTTCTGAATTTTGATTATATTTTCTTCTTGAAAACAGTTGAATGGTGGATCCAATTTGGTGATTCCACCCCTGAGCTACAGAGTTTTGCTGTGAGAGTGTTGGGCCTCACTTGTTCTTCTTCTGGGTGTGAGCGAAATTGGAGTACATATAGTCAAGTGCAAACAAAGAGAAGAAATCGACTATCTACACTCAGAATGAACTCCCTCGTATACATAATGCACAACAAGAGGTTAAGAGATAGGAGGTTGAGGAATAAGGGGTTGAAAGATGATGAGGACCCGTTGGTGTGTGATGATCTGTCGTCTGATAATGAGTGGTTCATAGATGATGAGGCAGATTTATCATTATCAGACTTACAGGTAGAAGATCTAAATGTGGATGTATTGAGGGGCGAAGCAGATCAAACGGGTACATCCACTAGTACCACACCACACACATCTACTAGCTCTGCAAGTAAAGGTATATGTTCTCTGCCAGTCTGCCTGATAATGAGTGGTTCATCCAATTAATATGCTAATAATCTTTTCTTTTAATGAACAGGGAAGAGAAAAGTGAGCCATGTTGAAGATGAAGATGACATGGCATTCATAGATACAATTGGAGAAGAAGATTCACTTGAAGACCCATTTAGTGATGGGATATGATTTCATTTTATATGTTTTTTGTATTTTGGGAGTTTTGATAAACTGATTTTTTTATATTTTGGGAGTTTTGTTAAACTGATATTTTGTGATTTTGTACTTTGGGACATAATTTTATTGCATCTACTTTCTTATTTTCCAATATTGCTATTATTTTCCTGCTAAAATCCTTAATTTTTCATTTACGCAATTCTGTGTTCGTGAGGCTTACGCCTCAGACCGCCTCGAGGCTTACGCCTCGCCTCACGGACGAAAACCGCCTCGAGGCGCAGTTACGCAATTTTAAACCTTGGTATACGTTTTAGATATCTTGGATCTATTGTTCAGAATGATGGTGAAATAGATGGGGATATTTATCAATATAATTCAAGTTGGATGGTTGAAGTGGAGGAATGCATCGGGCTTGTTGTGTGATAGAAAAGTACCCCTCAAACTTAAGGGAAAATTCTATAAGATGGTGGTGAGATCTGCAATGTTTTATGGTGTGCCAAATGTTGGCCATTAGAGAGAAGCATTATAATAAGTTAAGTGTTGCAGAGATGAGGATACTTAGGTGGATGAGTGGATTTACCCTTAGAGATAGGATACGAAATGAGCATATACGTGAAAAGGTTGGAGTAGCTCTAGTGGAAGACAATATTAGAAAGAGTCGCCTTAGATGGTTTGGTCACATAAAACGGTGGACTTCCGATGACCCGATTAGGAAAGTTGAGGTATTAGATTTGACTTTTGTTAAGAAAGGTAGAGGTAGACCTAAAAAGACTTGATTATAAAATATTTGAAATGATCTTTCTTTATAAGATTTAAATGGGAATTTGACTTTTAACAGGATACAATGGAGAAAAAGAATTCATGTAGCCGACCCCACGTAGTGGGACAAAGGCTTGATGTTGTTGTTGTTGATGTTGTGTATATGTAGTCATACAAGCGAATTTAAATGCAAACCGTAAAAATAAAAATTAGAGCCTAAATGTTAATTTAATGATCTAAATTTGAAGAAATTAGCAATAAAATGAACCACACAAAATCAGTGAGCAATTATAATTTAATAACCACAACTATAATTTCAGATCTACTAAATCTTAAATAGAATGCACTCGCAAACCACGTATGTAATCTAGGCCTTCTGTTGATACAAAGTGAGTACTCTCTTGGTGTTAGGTAGCGACACTTGTACTGTCTGTGACGGAGTCACACATTCAAGCTACACACATTAAATCTAAATGAAGAATTTTCATTCTATCAATGTTCTAAAATTATATGACTGAGAACATCTATTGATAGACTACCCATCTCTAAGTGAGTAGATTTGGTTGGTATAAGATTAAGCCTATCTGATTTAAGATAACTATCAAATTCACACTTTAAACCTTATCCAAAAATCAAGAATTCAAAACAACCACATAATATGTTTCCCCAATGGCACCTTATCCGAAAGCTAAGCCGCTGAAAACCCGTTACACCTTATTAGGAAATCAGGCATAAAAGCAACACAAATAAAAGAATAGGGCATATCGATAAACATAACGCACAATTAGCTTCAAAGCTACACTCAAGGAATAGAACCTACAGTTCGGCATCACCTACATTCTTGTTGAACAATTTTCAGATACAATGATATGCTAATCAGGTTTGCACACAGAAATATATGTGCTGACAATAATAACAGATCTAATAAAGTCATCCAGGTCTAGAAAGTTGTTAGACCGGTCCCTTATGGACCGGCTCACACGGCCTAGGCAGAACGGAGGCGGATGTTCAGTCTCTCCTGTACGTGTTGCTTAAGCCGCCAGGTCCAAGGAAGCTATTTAGGAGGATTTTTTAGGAAGTTGGGAGGGAAATTTCAAAGTAGGTGCTTTTTAGAGATTTCCTTGTGAATTGTATGCATTAAATAGTTTGTTTTCCTAGGGTCAGAGCATCTTGAATTTGGCTGAAATTTGATATCTCTTAGGTTTAGGTTTTTGGGCTCTAGCAGCATCTAGAGATTTGGGAGAGATAGATACTCCTCTATAGAGGATTAATTATATCGTGTTATTTTTCTTCCGTTAGTTTGATTATCACAATAAAATTTCCGTTTTTTCGGTTTTTCCTTTGGATTGATTGATCGTTCTCGCTATTTTCGTCACGATAGTTAGATTTTACTTGAAATCTTCAAGTATTTCCTAACAAAAGTATGTTACTGTCCTTTTTATTACAGAAATTCCCAATTTCAAGTGCATTGCTTAGACTAAATTGCTATCTAAGTTTGCTCAAGAAATTTGACATTTTTGATGGCATAGGAAGTAGCTGGTACTGATGATGGGTTTAATCCTCTGTAATATAGGCATATCGGAGGAAGAAAAGCGCAGGCTATTACATTGTGTTGTTATTGGAGGTGGTCCAACGGGAGTTGAGTTTAGTGGTGAACTAAGTGATTTCATTACTAGTGATGTTCATGAAAGATACACTCATGTTAAAGAATACATTCATGTGACCCTAATTGAGGTTTTCTCAATGCACGGTTTTGAATTTTAGTATTTATTTTTTCAGCTTGCGTAACATGTGTTAGCTTGCTATGTAGGCAAATGAGATATTGTCATCTTTTGATGTCCGCTTGAGACAGTATGCCACGAAGCAATTAACTAAGGTACGTGACTCAATTCCTTGTGCCAAAGTATTCTGCTTTTCAGAGTTGATTGCTCTTTATTCCCAATACAGATATGTTTTTCTTAGTGAAATAATATTTCTTTCTTCCGGATTAAAGCCAAATATTACAGTTTGTTTATCTTTCTTTAGTTTATGTCAGAAGATTTATATATTTTAGATTTAAAGGAAAATTTCCTTTATGTTTGAGAGGAGTGGGGGAAGGGACATGTGTATTCCTATTACTTGCACGCTTGAATAAAAAGGACCTCGTTTTATTTTACATATTACTGTACATAGTAAGTAGGAATGCTAACTGAAATTAATTTCTGGAGGTAACATGATACTTTTGAGCATTACTTAGTGAAGAATTGTAAGAAGATTGTTATAATACTTTAGAAGAGTCTCAAAATGTATCATATATTAGTATGAAACTTGTGGTGGGTTGGGGAGAAACCGTTATTAATGTAAATAAATATATTTTGAAAATGAAAAAAAAAAAAAGCAACAACATTGATGCATATACTGAGTATGAAGAAATTCGAAGTGTTTTAGATGGACTTGTTAATGAAAATGAAGAGGAATCTGATCTTCAATGGGGTTATCTGGAAACTTTACAAAGCATGACATAGTCCATCTTTAAAGAGGTGTTTGAACTCCATTAGGTAAGTCATTAAGGAAGATGCAACTTGACCGTCAGGAATTGCAATTGGAAGGTAACCAAGGGTATCATAGTGATATCACATGATGGCAAAAAGTGACAGACCAAAATGGTCCCTTGACTTTTATGAAGAATCAAAATGATTTCCGACTTTGTGAAAGTTCCAATTTAGTTCATTGACTCTTTAAATAGGGGTATAAATGATCTCTACTTCTAAAGTAATGGATGTTGGAGTTAATGATGTTAATACAACAACAACAACATCAAGCCTTTATCCCATTATGTGGGGTCGGCTACATGAATCCTTTTTCTCCATTGCCGCCATTTTATGGTGTTAATTGTAGGGATTTTTGGAAAATCTTCTCTTATGAATTATTTAGTAAATATAAATGTCAATTAACTATATATTTTCTTGCGTACAACAAGTATGCTCGTATATAAGCGAGCATGGATTGAGATCAATGCATAATGCCAATAAGTTTTTTTTTTCAAATTCATTTGGAATTTTTTGTTTATTTTGGATCTATTTGAACGAAAAAAAAATAGTTTTAAATTTGTGCATTGATTTATTGAAATTTTAATTTTTGACAAAATAAAATATATATTCAGCTTATATAAATTTTTTTATAAAGAGATTTTTTTTCCTTATAAGAAATCATTTGAATATATATATATATATATATATATATATGAACAAAATAGAGTTTTGCCTTTCTAGTGTTGGCACCCATTACTCTCAAAAATAGCTTTTGAAAGTTTTGAAACTTCATGTTGCTGTTTGAGAAGTTAAAATATCTTAGCAAGAGTTCAACAACAACAACATCAAGCCTTTATGATGAGGATATCCACAAGAGATTTTACCGTACTTACCATCGGAGGAATCGTAGATCGACGGCTACGGTTCATAGTCTCTATTTATGATGTTTTAGTGAATTTCTTTTATTTACTTTTCAGTTTTCCACTTTTACCACTATGGGGGATTTGTTTCATGTTGTAGCCTGAGGGCATATGTGTCTTTTACATTTTTGTGCTTTTGGAGGCCTATTTATTAGGGCTTAGTCATTGTATTATTTCTAATGATGATGATGAATGAGAATTCCACTTTTCTTGCTTGATCTCTTAGTGAGTTCTTGAGAGGAGAAACCCTAGGTGAGGGTGAGAGCAATACCCGTCAACGTTGGAGGATCCAAGGTTCGCAGTTCTTCAAATTCTTCTCTCTTATACCTTTACAGTTTACACCAATCCCACCCAACCACCCGCCGGCCTCCCCTTCTCGTTGCCCAATCCCCTCCCTAAACCGAAACTCCCCATCCCACGCCGCCGACCTCCCTTGGCCGCCCCACCCGCGGGCCACCACCCACCTAGCCGCCGGCTTCCAAACCCCCATCTGCCCCTCTCCACAAGTCCAAATCGCCGGCCCCTCCCATTGCTCCCAAATTTGAAATTCAAATTTCAAACACCCATTATTCCCTTTCCTAAAATAGGTTTTAGTTAATTAGAAAAGCTTCCTAATTGGAATTCAATTAAATTCTTTTCTAAGGCTAGAATTTAAATTAGGAAACCTGCCTAATTTAAACAAATCTGAAATTAAATTCATATTTGTTTCAAATCTTTATTTTTTCCTTGGGGGCCATATATTTAATAAAATTAACCTCCCTCCTAGCTCTATATGGCCAGCCACCTCTCCCTAATCCTCTCTCCCTCCTAATTAATTCATAGCCTCCATTAAAGCCCCCTAATCTCTTCCTAAACCACTGCCCCTTACCCTTTGAGGAATAATTTGAAATTCAAATTATTTCCTCCCTTCCCACTTAGAAAAGCTTCCTACGGTTCTTACTAAAATCTTGCAATTCCATTTATTGTTTCACATCACTTTATCCCACTACGTGGTGTCAGCTACATGAATCATTTTTCTCCATTTTGTCTTATTAAGAGTCAAATTTTCATTTAAGTCTAATAACAAAATTTTATTTCTAATATTTTCTAATCAAACCTTTTTAGGTCTACCTCTACCTTTCTTAATATAGGCCAAATTTAATACATCTACTCTCTTCACTGAGTCATCAAAAGACCGATGTTTTATGTGATCAAACCATCTGAGGCGACTCTCTCTAATCTTATCTACCATTGGAGCTACTCCAACCTTTTCACGTATATGCTCGTTTCGCATTTCGTGTCTAAGATTAGTGAAGTCACACACCCACCTGAGCATCCTCATCTTTGCAACATTTAACTTAATTTTATGCTTCTCTTTTAATTGCCAACATTCTATGCCATAAAAATTAAAACATTACAGGTTTCACCACCATATTATAGAATTTTCTATTAAATTTTAGTGGTATTTTTCTATCACACAGCAAGCCAATTACATTCTTCTACTTCAACCATCCAACTTGAATTCTACTAATAATATCCCCATCTATTTTACCATCACTCTGGACAATAGACCCGAGATATCTAAAGCGTGTACTCTTATTAGTGACTTGATTGCCCAAAGCCAGAATACTCCCACTAGATTTAGTACTATTAAAATTACACTCCATATATTTGGTTTTAAAATCTTAACAAGAGTTCATTAAATAAAATTGAAAATCTTTCTATTTGAGACAACCACATGAAGTAGTTTTTTTGTTATTACGAAAAATGCCATTTAAACTAATCTTTGATCTCCTTCCCATTTTTTCTCAACAGCAACAACAACAATATCAAGCCTTTGTCCCACTATGTGGGGTCGGCTACATGAATCCTTTTTCGCCATTGTGCCCTGTTAAAATTCAAATTATCATTTAAATCTAATAAAGAAAGATCATTTCTAATATTTTCTATCCAAGTCTTTTTAGGTCTACCTCTACCTTTCTTAATATAAGTCAAATCTAATACATCATCTTTCCTAACTGGGTCATCAGAAGGCCTCCGTTTAATTGGACAAAACCATCTAAGGTGACTCTCTCTAATCTTATCTTCCATTGGAGCTACTCCAACCTTTTCACGTATATGCTCATTTTGTATTATGTCTCTAAGGGTAAAGCCGCTTATCCACCTAAGCATCCTCATCTCTGCAACGCTTAACTTGGTATTATCCTTCCAATTTTTTCTCATTACAATAAAATAAAATAAATCTTAAAATATTCCAGCTATGTAATGCTGCCCATAGTATTCAGATAAAAAGTTTGATGTGATAGATGAATATTTCATTTAATTTGTCTTTTTTCTTTTGGACCTATATGTCTAAAGAAGTAAGAAACCTTAATTACATTCATATAAGAAAAGATAAAATGAACTTGAAAGAAAGAAAAAACTTTAATGAATTTACCAAAAGGCTTGTATTAGAAGATCCTTGTGTGAAAGTTTGTGCTGTTGGTTTAGAGTGTGATTGTCTCTCCAATTGAATCAAATGTAATTTAAAAAAAAAAACATCATTTTGAAATAAAACAAATATAAATTAAGCATTTGTTGAAGTAAATAAATTATCTAATTATATAAGTCACCATTTCAACCATTATGGTATATATTTCCCTGATTTCTTGATCATATACATGTATCTCCTCATTATTTATCTTCACATTGTTATACTTTTTCTTACCAAAAATATTGCTGTTGTATCCACTCTGCTTATATTTACTGCAATAAAGCTTTGGCAGTAGCTATACTTGACTTTTTCTTTTCTGAGAATGTAATGAATATTGATTTGCTGGCCTCTTTCACATCTTTGGTAGTATGCTTAAGTTTATTATATCTTGGTGGCAATGATAGAATCCTGTCACTCTTCGGCTTCTCTTGAGCGTCATTTAAAGGCATGATGTTATACTTATTGCGTCTTGGAAAATTCACAGCGGTAAAGAGATACATAATTTAGCGTCCAAACTTTGTACGAAGATCCAACACATAAACATATAAGGTAGAGGGGTGCATCATTTATAAAAGACACCATAATTTTTACGTGCAAACCCCAGAAAAAGGGGAAAAATCATGGGCCTTGCCCAGTTTGAATGAATTCACTATTGCTTGTAGTCGATTACAACTGATGCTCTTCCTCAAGGGAATGTGTTGACTAAATGTAGCAAATTTACATCGTATATAGTACATTACGTAGTTGGAGAATGACACAATAGTTGTTCTCAAGATAATGTTATTCTATTTGTTTGGTTGGCATATCCATAATGGATGATGATGGTTTGAAGGATTGCATTCGGTAGGTAATGAAGGTTGGAAGGATTATAATCGTGCAATGATGGTCGAAGGGATTGTAGTCTGCGGGCGATGGAGGTCGGAAGGACCATAGCAGGTGATAGTGGTCGGAAGGATAATAGTTGTGTGACAGTGGTTAAAAGGACCATAGTCGGGCGACAGTGGTCGGAAAGATTATAGTCTGGCGATGCTGGGCGGAAGGATCATAGTAGTTTGGCGATGGTGGTCAGAAGGATCGTAGTTGGCAGGCAATGGTCGGAAGGGTCGTACTCGTGCGACGGTGTTTGGAAGGATCGTAGGCCGGCAATAGTGTTTGGAAGGATCGTAGGCGACAATAGTGTTTGGAAGGATTATAGCTGGGCGACAGTGGTCGAAAAGACCATAGTCGGCTGGCGAAGGTGATCGGAAGGGACCGTAGGCGGGTGATAGTGGTCGGAAGGACCGTATGCAGGCGAAAGTGGTCGGAAGGATCGTAGTTGGACGACGGTGGTTGGAAGGGTCATAGTCAGCGGGTGATGAAGGTCTGAAGAATCGTGGTTAGGCAATGGTGGCAGAAGGTCTGTAGTCGGGCAACAGTGGTCGGAAGGGCCGTAGTCTGGCGATGGTGGTTGTAAAGACCATAGTCGAGCGGTGATGGTTGGAAAAATCATAGTTGGTGGGCGACGGTGGTAAAAAAGATCGTAGTTGGCGGACCACAATGGTCAGAAGGACTGTATGCTGGCGAAAGTGGTCGGAAGGGCTATAGGTGGTAATAGTGGTCGGAAGGACCGTAGTCGAGTAATGGTGGTCAGAAGGACCATAGTCGGGTGATGGTGGTCGGAAGGATCATAGTCGAGAAATGGTGGTCAGAAGGACCGCCAATGATTGCCAGATGGAGTTTGATGGCAATGCTCGGGGGAGATCCAACACGGCGGCTCGGTGGCACGAATTTGACGGCGGTGGTGCCGAGGTGGAGCTTTAGAATTTTCTAAGCCCATGAACATTTTCTCTTTTTCCTCCCTTCTCTCATGTGAATAATAAGGGTCTATTTATAGTTTTTTGGGGTAGTGACATGGCTAGTAAATATGGAGAAGATTAAGGACATGTTGGGAGTGTTCCATCAGATGGCTGGTATTAGCTCCATTGATCATGGAATGTTTATCTAGCATTTAAGCGCCTTAGAGATGTCAGAATTGAGTGATCTTGGGCTTGTTGGATTCTTCTCATCGAGCTGCTCGATTCTGTTATAAGCATGTCATTTTTGGATATCAGTTTATCTTCCAATTGATGCTATGAAGCTTTTAAGTTGGCTTTGGTCTTTTGATTTGGGACCATTTGGGCTCAGATTGGATCAAATTTGGTGCCGTTGGGTTCATCTACTTAAGTTGTTCAATTTGACTGTATGTTTGCTGATATCAGAGTTCGGATGATCTTGAATTTAATTTTGGAAGCTTCTGACTCATATTTGCATCAAGAGTTGTGCCTGATCAAAGGGGGATTCTTGGTGACATATTACTACGCATAAATTATCATATAATTTTCTACAAAATAACACGAATGAACATAGTTTTCGTAGTCGCCTATTTTCATATGAACTACAACACAAACATAGTTAAATGATGTTCTAGTTAACTCCCACTTCTTACACTATACGACTTGGATGCCAAATGCACATTGTATTGGGCTCCATGCTTGATTTTTATTTTATAATTGGTGTCATCAGATTTATAACTTATTTACGACTCTGCATCATGCATATTCTAATTAAAAAAAAAAGAAATTAATCATCTAAACTTAAAAAAAAATCATCCACTCTCCACAATAGTTTGATGAAGACAATGAATTTAAGAACAACTTTAGCTCACAAAAAGTAAATGTCCACTCAAGAATATCACTGAAATTCATTCTCAAATAATATCCTACCGGTAAGGACGTGACATATATACTCTAATTGGTGGTTAGTGTCTTATATCTATCAATCTGCCTTCTAAAAATTTCGTGCGGAACTTAATCCGTTAAAACTCTCGCCGAATATATGCGGAGACACCGTGGCATCAATAAAGTAAAAATTTTGAAGCCCACGATGAGTTAAGTCCAACCACTTGATATTTAAATTTCAAGATATTTCTAAGCAATTCGTTGTGAAATCAAACTCAATATTCTCATGCGCTTAACACTAATTATTGACAAGTTATACATTTTCTGTTGTAGAAGATGATATTGCTTACTTTTGATGCTTTCTTGTCATAGATGGTTTCTGCTTATTGGGAAATTAGAATTAAAATAAAGTTTTCTCTTTCTTCTTTTTACCATTTTTTCCAAACACTTTTGTAGTCTGGGGTACGCCTGGTCCGTGGGGTTGTCAAAGATGTTCAGCCTGAAAACATAATTCTTAATGATGGCACTAAAGTTCCATATGGCCTCTTGGTGTGGTCAACTGGTGTAGGTCCTTCCCAGTTTACAAAGTCTTTGGAGTTGCCGAAGTCACCAGGTGGGAGGTATATTCTCCATCTTATAATGAAAATTAATTGCTGCTTTCTATTGTCGTTTACTCAATGCTGTTGCGTTGGAATCATTGTTTCATATTTTTTTAGTTATTATAACGTTAAAGATCTTGAGATTGTAGAATAATAATGTTTAGTTTACTATCACATATTACATGCAAGTATTAGCTCTTCCGCTTACGGACTTCGTTGTTATTGTCATATTTGTGAAGCTCTTACACAAGGGAGCTGAAATTTTTGCAGGATTGGCGTTGATGAATGGCTTCGGGTTCCTTCAATACAAGACACGTTTGCAATTGGCGACTGTAGCGGATTTCTTGAAAGTACTCAGAAAACTGTGTTACCAGCTTTAGCACAGGTTTGCTTGTGTTTTTTTATTGGTTAGTTTGATAACAGGTTATTGCTATTTCTCATAGTGGGTAGATAGGTCTCTTCATTAAAAAAACCCCAATTAGGTTCCCTGTGTCAACCATAATCAGCAAGTAGATCCTTCCATCTATAATCTATAATGACACAAAATGGCATTTTTAATCTTTCAAACCGACTAATTAGGTCCTTGAACTGTGCTAAGAAGAATCTGCCATTAGGTTCATCCTTCTTCCTTTTTCTCTTACACAAATATTTTTTTCATTTTGTGGTAATTGTGACATTGACGTGTTGGTTAAATAATCAAGATAGACATAATTATGAAATTACAAATAAAAGCAATTTTTGTTTTTTTTTTATTATTTTTTTATTTTTTATTTTTACAAATAAAAGCAATTAAATATATGTTAGAAATATAATGTCTCATCATCTTTTTCATCATCATCAACTTTATCCTAACTATTTCAACTCATCTTTATGAATTCTCATTTTCCATTCATTCTTATGGAGTATTGCGGAATGTGTTAAAAATTCGTTATTTACAAAGCATATCCAATAATTCTTATCTATGTTAACTTAGGTCTACACCTTCTCCTCCTTAATCCTCTAGCATTAATTTTATCTATTCATACCATGGGACATTGTATGTACTAATCAATTAAGCTTATTTAAAATTACCTCATCTTCAATATATTGTCACTCTAGCCATTTCTTTGATATAGTTACTTTCATTCAAGAACAAGGTGGTTTAATAAAGTATTTTCCTATCTTAGTTGGATCACATTAAGGATCAACTTTAAGCCCATATTTTCTTTTTGCTTTAGTCATGGATGTTCTTACTAGGCATTTGCAAGAGGATGTAACTTGATGTATGCTTTTGTTGATGATATTCTTCTTGTTGATAAGACTTGAGAGGGAGTTGATGAAAAACTAGAATTATGTAGGTCAACCTTAGAGTATTAAGATTTTCATTTTTAGTAGATCTAAAACCGAATATATAGAGTGTAATTTTAGTAGTAATAGATTTTGGAGTGGGATTGTCATATTGGTGATTAAGTTATTAAAAAAAGTGCACATTGTGGATATCTTTGATCTATTGTTGAAAGTAATAGTGAAATAGATGAGGATATTTGTAGTAGAATTCTAGTTGGATGGCTAATGTGGAGGAATGCATCGTGCCTTTTCTATGATAGAAAATTCCCTTCAAACTGAAGGAAAAAATTTATAAGTTGGTGATTAGACCTGCAATGTTTGATGGCGCAAAATGTTGACCATTAAAAGAGAAACATAAAACTAAGTTCCATTTTGCAAATATGAGAATGCCCAGGTGAATGAGTGGCTTCACTTTTAGAGTCAGAACACGAAATGAGTTTATATGTGAAAAAGCTAGAGCAGCTCCAGTGGAATATAAGATTATAAAGAGTCAACTTAGATGGTTTGGTCGCATAAAACATCAGTCTTTTAATAACCTTGTTAGGAGAGTAAATATATGTATTATACCTGATCTATGTTAAGAAATGTAGGAGTACATCTAAAAAGATTTGGTTAGAAAGTATTAAAAGGACTTTTTTTATAGATTTAAATGAGAATTTGGTTCTTAATAGGATATAATGAATAAAAAAAATTCATGGAGTTGTGGGATAAAGGCTTGTTGTTATTGTTGTTGATGATAATGATGATGATACTATTATATTGTGATGTCTATCATGCTCAATTTGGATATCGACTTTTACCACCCAATATCTTTTTTATAAAAAGGAATTCTATTATTGCCAATTGATTTGTTGTTATTTACTAATAGCTAGGCACCTATAAATTAAATTAAATTTAGAAGATTAATTTTTTATTTAAAAAACGAGTATTATATACTATATAGTATATCCATTATAAGAATATCTTACAAGATAATTAAAAAGGAATGAGTGAATATAACAGTGTATGCTAAGGTCAGATAAGTTATTTTTCTAAAAAAATTCAAAGCTTCTTTTAACAAAATGAGTTCTATAAAAGAATGAATATTTAGCTTTTTAATAACCTCAGATTTTAGCTTGCATAAAGCCATACATTTTCATGCAACAAGTAACCATCCCCTCACCAAATGCCCAAAAAATGGTTCTGCTGCCTAAAGAAGTTTATAGCTTTTCGTTCTCTTCAGAGTTTCTTATCGAAACATCATAGCATCCAATCTTTCGAATGCTCTGTCAATATAGGTAGCAGAGAGGCAAGGGAAATACCTAGCACGCCTACTGAACCAAATCGGCAAAGCAGGTGGCGGATATGCAAACCAAGCCAAAAATATAGATTTGGGTGATCAGTTTGTATACAAACACCTCGGAAGCATGGCAACCGTTGGGAGGTATAAAGCTCTGGTTGACCTTCGGCAAAGCAAGGTTAGTACTGTTTGGCGAAATTAGTTAAAAAAATACTCGATTTTTTTTATCTATAAAAATAAAAGAGGTTAAGGCTTCGTTTGTAACGACTTTCTTATTGCTTCTTAAAGCAATTTCTTAGTACAAAAATAAAAAAATTTTGTAGTAAGAAGCTGTTTTAAGAAGCAATAAAAAAACTGTCCCAAACGAAGCATAAATCTGCCATTGAAGAAATTTGCTTATTAATGGCAGATTTATAGATATCTTCAGATCAACAACAGATTTCTATAAATCTTCAGGTCAACTGAAGTTTTCTAAAAATCCACCCATAACCTGAAGATTTCAGAAAAAAAATTGCTGAATGGGTAGATTTCACAGCATGCAATACTTGAGAAATTTGATTTGATATGGTTCCTTTGTTCATCTCCTGCGGACTCTATTTTTTATCTACGTCAATTTGCACTCTCAGTCCTAATATTGGTGAGATTTTCTCCGTAAATATCCTATAGTTCATCTATAATATTCAAGTCTCTAAAACCTAATATAACTTAGGGATATGCTCATAATCTTCATAATATGAATAGCCATTTCACGAGAATAAATCTTGCTTCCATAATATATGTACTTTTTGGTTTAATTGAACTTTTAAAATTAATCAGTTAATTTTTCTTTTGCTTGAGAAGGCTTAATAATTAGAGAGAGATTTATTTCACTTGAATGGCTAAATTAATTAAAGTATCTTTATTGAATGCTTTGAGTATGAGTGTTTGAACTTTAAACATCGATTCTTCTCCAAATATTTACATTTCATCCAAAATGAATGCCTCTTTAATCATCTTAGATTTTTTTATGACGTATTGACATGGACAAGGTGATGCATACACTGTACAGCATGAGCATGGGATAGGTTAATTAAAGTATTATTTTTTTATGACGTATTGACAGGTGATGCAAACACTGTACAGCATGAGCATGGGATAGTTTATTGAGAAACTAAAAATATTACATAATATATATATATATATATATATATTTAAAATTTTTATTTATTTAAAATAAAAAAAAAGTTAAATTTCTTATTTTTCTATCCATAAAACTAAATCAATCACCAACACTCAATATCTCATTCATCGAATATTCTCATTTTCATTTTTTTTTTGGCGGATCGCGACTTTTGTTTTACAATGATGTTTGATGTCATCTCAACATCGATGTCTGATGTCGTTTAAACATTGACTTTTCAAAAGTCTGACACTGTCTTGACATTGATGCCCGACGCTAATAATTTCTACACCCACAGCTTGATAGCTCATATTTATCCGATGTCTTCTTAACATTGACGATCAACGCCCACTTCACATCGATGTTTCAACATTGTCGTCTCCTCTCTCAATGTCTAATATATGGCATCGATGTCCGACTCTTGACATCCTAATATTAATCATTTTATGCACAAATTTTAGTTAAATGATTTATTATTTCAAAATTATTTTTAATATTATATTTATTTAATCTTTATACACTATTTTTAAAATATAAAAATTATAATACATTGTCTAACTCCGTAACTCGTGTCCGTATCCTATATTTTTAATAATCAATATGTCAATGTCCTTGTCATGTCATATCCGTGTCACCATGTTCATATTTGTGCATCATAGTTTGTCACGAATGTTAAGTACGTGTTATTTATTTATTTATTATTTTAAATTGGACATGTCAGTATATAGCTTGTCGATTATAATGTTGGTTGTGTCATGTCTTGCATGTTTTGAATGCCGTATATTTTGATATTATAAAGTATATGCGTCATGAAAAACTTTATAAGAAAAAATAATAATCCGATGAATTTTAATGTTATGGGCATATATTGTGAAGATTTATGTTCTTTAAATAATCATTCATAACAATGGATGAGGATGTCGAGGATATCCCAAGTTATATTATGATTTTGAAAGCTGATTTTATTCATGAACTATCCGAAGTCATTTTTATAAAAGACATCCCACCTAGCTTACACTAAAGGAAATCTTATCAGTAGGATTGAGGGCATTATTGCTGTGTATAAAAGCACTTATATCAGCTATAGCTTCTGAAGCTTTATGAATCTCCTCATCAATGGCATATTTCTCTAAAATCTGTAGTTGAAGCGTATAGATCTCTATTGCTGTTGAGCAAATTTCTAGAAATCTGCTTCTTTTTATAGAGGTTCTCTTTAATAAGATTAAAAAGAAAGGGAGCCTCTTTTTAAAGTTTCACCTAACTTCTCGCATGCCATCATCTTTACCTTTATAGCATGGAATCTAATGAGTGAGTTCACTTTTGGTCATGCTAATCTTGTTCGTAATTTTATAAATCCTCATTCTTTCCTGCTTTTTGTTGCACTATTTCGTAGTTTTTGTTTTTGTTTTCATATTATCTTATTTATCTATCTTATTAATGCATCTTTTCTACAATTATTTTTTTCAATGTGCATTTTCCCATCCTTCTAGTACTATCCTCTTACAATATTTTTCCGTTGGCTTCGTTTGAAACAGCTTTCGTACTTATTTTTTTAGCAGCTTTTTAGTATAAAAATTTTGAGTCAAGAATTTCTTATATTAGAAAGCAACTTTAGAAAGCAGTAATAAAGCTGTCTAAAACGAAGCCTCAATTCAGATTAATTATACTGTGCGGACACCGGAGGCAAATCAGAGCACGCCACATCACTTCCTTGCTGTGTACCAGATGACGTGACGCGCTCTAATTCGCCTCCGAACACAGGGTTACGTCTGGTGTCTGCACAGAGTAGTTTCTCGTCATTTTGACCATCAAAAGCATGTTAGTTAGTTCTTAGAAATAATCATACGAACAACAATTTGATTTTTGTGATAAAATGTTGTGTGACAACTTGTTCCAGGAGGCCAAGGGCTTGTCACTTGCAGGTTTTGTAAGCTGGTTTATTTGGAGGTCTGCATACTTAACTCGAGTTGTGAGTTGGAGGAATAGGTTCTATGTGGCCATAAACTGGCTTACAACCTTAATATTTGGTCGTGATATAAGCCGAATCTAAGGGATTATATGTATTATTTGTTCTTTCACTGCTGAAATAAACTATCTTATGTATGAGTTGTTTATCATCGTCTTGTTATTGAATGATCAATCAAGGAGAAAAGTGTTGAACTTTATGTGTTTGTTCTTGTGATTTTGTTTTTGATAATCTGTTAATTTAGAAAGTTTTATGATCCTTAAGGAAAGCTAATCTTTTTTAATATAGTCTTATAGTATGGAAGCTGAAGGCAATGTCCAAAGTACATAAAATCTTGCATTTTCTAAATTAATATAGCCTTATAGTATGGAATGTTACTATGATTAAAGGAATTGCAAGCAAATAATGAATTTAAATTTTTTTTATTTTTTTTTATTAAATTTATTTAATTCAAATAGCAACGAATATTGCTATCAGGTGAGAACCCAAAAAAAAAAAAAAAATTTCAGGTCTTTTTTTGAAAAATACAATAATTTATATGAATTAAAGCACGTTTTTCATGTTGATATAAGAATTTAGGTCTAAATATTTAATTTTTATTACATATAAAATTCTGATGCATCATTATGAAATTCTTTAATCGAGCATAATTTTGATGCAAATATAATAAAAAAAGAATTTATTTGGTGATTATCTGTATTTCTATTTCGGCAAATTTATTAAAATTATTCTGATTGAGATTAAACTTAAAATTAAATATTTAAAATATAATTAGAAACCTAATAACACTTTTATAAGCATACTTACATATTGATTATTTCAATTTAGCCAATAAAAATATTTTTGAAGATCATTAAATTAAAGTATAAATGGTTCTAACCAAATAAAAATATTTTTGAAGATCATTAATTCAAAGTACAAATGGTTTTTTTACCCCAAATTGAAAATATTTTTTAGGATCTTAAATTCAATTATCATTAAATACTTTTATAAGATTTAATGTATACTTTAAGATGACAAATTTGACAGTGTCAACCATTTGTTAACTAATCAACAACGTCTCTATTAGTTAATATGATAATAAGGTTGAGCATTGCGTGCAGTTATAAAAAGTCTAGAGAAAGTAAATAAAAATAAAAAAATAAAAAAATAAAAAAAAAGTCTAGAGAAAGCAGTATTTTTTACTGTTGGATGACTCGCACGTTTCCCTAATACTTATCTAATTTTTATTAGAATAAACTTAAAATTTTAAGATGTAAAATTATAGTGACACATAAAAATATATATAACTTAGATATTTTAGATAAATTTAAATATAAGTAAGAAGAATCTAACAAGTCTAAAATTATCTAATTCTGCATCATTAATACACTTAAATATTAAACAAACTGTTTATGATTGAGGAGAAAACTCGAGTTGTTTGATGGAGTGCTTTAGATTTTATTTATATTGGCAGGGTATGTAACTATAGACATTTATAAATAGGCATCCACTCTTTAATGGGAGCTTAGATGTTGGCTTTAGACTCAGGAGAGCAAAGAGATATACATAATTTAGGAGCTCCACCCCGACCACCACTATCGGATTACCACTATACCACTATCAGACTAATACTATTGGATCACCGCCCGACTATTGTCATCATACTGCGACATGATCATTATCGTCAAACAATTGAAATCTGGCCAACATCACCCTACTACAATCATTTGACATCAATTTTCCGACTATGTTCCTACAAACCAATTTTCCTGACCTTTGTCATCTAACCATAGTGGCCGGTTTATGTTATGTCGTCCATCGTCACTCTGTTTATGGTCATTCGATATTCTGCTCGACTATGGCGCTTTGACAACTGCCACTTGACTATGATCCTCAGACTAACATCCCCTGATTATAGTTTCCTGACAACATTTGCCCGATTACTCCATTGTCGCCTAGCTAAGCTTCTTTGAGCATAGTTGATTGATTACGGTCCCCCAACCACCGTCGTCCAACAAAACTCTTTCGACCACCGTCGCTCAACTATGATCTCACGACTATTGTTGATCAACAAATGCCTTTGAACACCATCTTTCGACTATGATCATTCGACCGTCATTGCCCGACTAAAGACTTCTAATCACCATCGCCTAACTACGATCTATTGACCACCATCACTCGAATATGATCATCTAACCACTGTCACCCGACAATAGTATTTTAAATAGCAACCAAAATTTCATATAACTACTTTTTTTAATGTTTTCTCATTATTTTTCAAAAATTTCTGTGATGGAAGCTACTTTTTACAATCATAGTAGCTAAACTATGTTCTTTATAGTAACTTCACAATAAAATTTATAAACTATTGTAGCAATACCAAACAAATCATAAGACTTTTTTTTGGGACAATTTAAGATATTTATTTTTTAACTTTTCTTAAGTTTCTTTCTTTCAAAATTTTTTTTTTTTTCAAAAACCGCCTTTTAAAAGTAAAATTTTAAAATAGCCATAAAAAATTGGCTTACAAGTTACAAACATATTATTTTTTCTAATTTTTTTTTTTTTCACATAACAAGTTGAAAAGTTATTCCAAACAAAACCTAATTTAGCTCAATTCATGAATAAAATATGTTGAATAATGCTAAACTCCCAAAATAAAATCTCATATTAATGCTTCATCATTTGGAATGAATTTTTTACTGCTTCTTAAAACAGATTTATAGTACAAATTTTTAATTTCTGTATTAAAAAATTATTTTAAGAAACAATAAAAAAGTCGTCCCAAATGAAGCCTATTCGTTTGGGACGGCTTTTTTATTGCTTTCTAAAACGGAGTTTTAGTACAAAAATAAAAAATTTTGTACTAAAACTTCGTTTTAAAAAGCAGTAAAAAATCTGTCCCAAACGAAGCCTAAATCTTAAAACTTAGGATTTTGTGCACACATCAATACTACCTGCAAGGCTGCAACTGATTCTTTCTGATTTTGCATAAGGCCAAATAGGCATTCAGACCAGCTTCGATATATATACATATATGAATTTATCCGTGCAAATAGCCTTACTCAATCATGTATGATAATATTATTCTGGTGTGTTTTATAAAACTATTGCTAAAATTCTTGCTTTAAGAAAGAATGATGTTATGCCCTTGATTATTCATTATAATCAATCTGATTTCATAAAGAAAAGGATATCTACTGACAGTATTATTCTGGCTATGGAATTGTTGAGAGGGTTTAACTGTCAGAATAAAGAGAAATTCTTATGTTCCAATTTGGATATTCATAAAGTGTTTGATTCTGTTTCTAGGGATTTTCTTTTTAATAGGATGGCTCAAAAAGGTTTTCCTCCTATTTTTATTTCTTGGGTTAAAGAGTGCATTAAAGATATTCATTCTCTATTATCCTTAATGGTGCTTTTAATGGTTTCTTTGGTTCTTCTTAGGATGTCCTCTTTTCTCATATCTTTTTTGTATTGTTATGGATGCGTTTTCGAATCTTCTTGAGGATCAGTCTAATATGGTAAATTTTGAAGGTATTATGGCTGGTGATAATTCCATATCTCATTTATTATATGTAGATGATGTTCTAATTTTTGATAAAGCTTCTATTAGGAATGCTGATAAGTTAAATGAGATTCTTGATTATTTCTATAACTTTTCTGGGCTTTTGATCAATCAAGGTAAAAGTTCCATTATTTTTTCTAAAAATTGTGGTTTGACTCAAGATATTAGTCATATGCTGGGAATCCCTATTTCCCAAAATTCTTTGAAATATTTAGGTCTTCCTATTTCTTGTAAAAGGCTTTTAATTTCTAATTTTCAACCTCTAATGAATAAAATTATGGATATGCTTGCCGGTTGGAAAACTAGAATTTTATCTTTTACTGGTAGAGTGCAATATATTAATTTTACTATTTCTAATATTATTTCATATTGGATTAGAGGGCTTTCTTTACCTAAAATATGCTTCAATTTTTTTTAAAAAAGCTTGTTCTAATTTTCTTTTTTATGGTCAGATTAATGTTAGAAGGATCCATATGATTACATGGAAGGATGTTTGCAAGCCTAAGAAAGCGGGTGGGCTTGGGATTTCTAATCTGGTTGCTTTAAGGCTTGCATTTAACTGTTCTCATTTGGAGGATTGTTAATGATATGAGCCTGCTTGCGATTTGGGTTAAATATAAGTATATCTTTTGTTGGAAGCCTTGCTCTCATAAAGATTCTAAATATTGGAAAGAACTATGGGGTATTGCTAGAGATATTAAAGATAATATCTCTTTTAATTTGGTAGAATCCAGTAAGTTATCTCTTTTTTGGGATCCGTGGATTAAAGGAAATGCTATGCAGGATATTCTTTCTTCTCATGAGGCTTCTATTTTACATAACAAGAAGGCGGGTAATTGGATTGATAATGGTATTTGGGTTATTTCCAGTTATATTCCAGATAATATTACTCAGGAAATTTTGAAAATTTTGATTCTTAATCAGGTCTCTTCTTCGATCTCTTGGGATATGTTTAAGTTGCCTGTTTTTAAGAATCTTTATTCTTTTTTCTTTATTAATATTAATAAGATGGATTGGTTTAATTATGTTTGGCACAAATATTATGCTTTAAGATTCTCTTGTTTTGCTTGGATGACTATGTTGAATGGGTTAAAAATGATAGATCTTTTTATTAAGAGGAATATTATAGTGTTTAGTAACTGTATTATGTGTAATAGTGGGATTGATAGTCATAGACATTTATTTTTTGAATGTGACTTTTCCTTTCAGATTATTTCTAAGTTTGTGCCTAATATTAATTTCTTTATGTTTAGACCAAATTTAATTCAAACTTTTGAATTTATTTGAATTTCGAAGTGGAATACAGATGACAAAAGTCTTTATTTTCTTTATACTTGATGTACTTTTTATTTTATTTGGAAAGAGAGAAATTGTAGAAAAATGGATAATAAATTTAGCTCGTAGGATTCCATCTATAATCGGATCAGGTTTTCGGTTCAAGCTAAAGTTTTTAATTGGATCTCTTTGCCCAAAATTCAACACAGGATTAACTAGATGTGGTGGTTTGAGTATTTTTTGGACTATGATGTTTGGGCATTTTCATATTTTTTCTTTTGAACAGCTAGTTTAGCAACTAGTTTTTGCTGGAAGGTTAATCTAGTAACCATTAAGATGGATGATTTTTTTAAAAATATGATTATCTTCCCTTT